GCCCGTGCGCGCCCTTGCTAGCATCTCACTGGCTGCCATGTCACTGGCACCAGGCCCGGGGGCTGCCAGGCAGAGCAGCCAGCCTGGAGATTGCGGAAAGGGGCAGGCCAGCGCGGAAAGGGTGGATTGATCCCGCGCATGCGCCACAGGTGACTCGGGACCCAGGTGCCTGGAGTCCGGAAAGCCCACGGGAGAGACGAACCATGGGGTTGCGCGCATGCGCAGCAGGGGATGTTGCTGAAAGACCTGGGGCTGAAGCAGGAGCCTCCGCGCAAGCGCAACAGGGGCCTCGGCGAGACAGCTCGCGGGGGCTCCGCCGCTCGTTACCATAGCGGAGCGAGCTCCTCCTCTGAAGGCTGCGGCGCCTTTATCCCCCCCTCCACTCGCTCACCTCCACCGTGTTCACGGGAGCCGCCGCCTGCTCCGCGGTCAGAGTCCCCAGCTCGGCCGCTAACGCGTCCATGGCGAGCGCGGCGGAGACACGAGCCGGGAGGGATTCGGCAGCCGGCGGACGCTCCGCGCGATGGACCCGCTGTGCGGTTGATGAAATCTGCCCCCACTACAACAGAGGCGCCGCGGGACCGTTCCGCTTCTTTTAAAGAGCCCGCGGGAGGGGGGGAGACGACTCGCCCGCCCGCTCGGAGCGAGCTGCTGGTCCTGGCCCAGGAGCTCGGAAGCAGGGGGAGGGAAAATGCCCCCCTGAAACGCTCAGCACAAACCTCGCTCCCCAGAGACCGAATCTGAGCCTCACCCCCCCCTTAAACATAAGGGATGGGTCTGGTGAGGCTTGGAGAACTGCCCTAAACCTGATGTGACATGATGGGGGGCAGCAGGTTCCCCCTCTCAGAACAGCTCCTCCCCTCCCCCGCACCCCAGCCAGCCTGGGGTGGGATTTCAGTGCGACTTGTGCCAGGGAAAGTTAAACCGTCTTCTACTGTTCACCCACCAGGGGGCGCTGTGTATAAAAGACTTTATTTAAATGAAGTTCAGCCTTGCTGGGCAGAGCACACGGACACGCCTGGTACAAACGAAGCTCTGTAGCCAGCAGCTCATATCCCTGCATAAGCATGTGACAGTATTGTATAGGACAAGTCCTTTTGTTATTATTTGAAGGGCACCATGGGAGAGTCGCTGTCATGTCATCATTTTCTGTATAGTGGGGAAGTACAAGTGAGCCAAAGCTGGAATCCGCACTAATATTTTTTTTTCTCGTATCCGCTGGTTAGGATTCCATGGGTTGAGAACTAAAATAGACTCACAGATAATAGACAAACCAGCTGCAGATCAGCAACCAACTCTTTGATTTTAACTTTCTGCAGAGGACAGTTTGAAAGTGCTACTGCAGTCTCATTACCTTCTAGGTTGTCAGTTTACACTCTGCAAAGCCACAGAGACTGTCAATACGTAACAGTCATTATGATATTTTTTCCAGTCTTAATGCTGTTTGCCTTGTATGCACTATGCTCAAAAAGTGACATTTTATATCTCACAGATATTAACAAATTTATATACACAGTACTCTGGTGAGGCAGCAAATTACTATAATCTCCATTTTGCAAATGGGGAACAAGTAAAGAAAGGTGATTTGCTCAAGGTCATATCTCCTGAATCCTACTCTGATGCCTGAACCACAAAACCATCCACAACACTGCAGAAAACTTTCCTCAAGTGGCACTTATTGTCAGGAATTGAAACTCCATGGGACTCCTTAGCTTTGGAGTTACAAGGCCTCCTATTGATTCAACATCTGAAATTGGGAGAGGGGGGTGGAATCTGAGCAGCCATACATGTGGAGTCTTGGGATTGTCAACAGGAAATCTCAGGAGAATACACAAACAATCACTTTCCTATCTTTCTGTGGGAGGGGGACTTTCCAGTTGACTAAAATGACAGCTCACTAGAAACATCAATATACACAGTAAAAGTCCCTGTGTTGATTTTCTTAAAAGTTGTGTATAATGATTTTTAGGCACCATTTAAAAGTAAAGGTCACACTGGAAACATTCTTTAAACAAATCACTGTACTTTTTGTAATAAAAAGGAAGTCATACTTCAATAAGTGTGACTGTAGCACCCAAGGATATCTATATACTGTGCAAACAAATTAAATAAGGAATATAGGAATTGCCATACCATTCCAGACTATTGTTCCATTATTCTGGTATCATGTCTGGTGCACATAAATGGCCAGTACCAGATGGTCAGAAGAGAGCGCAAGGAATAGCACAATGGAAAATTATGTAATATCCTGCCAAGTGGGAAGAGTTTCTTCTTAACCTTAGTGGTTGGCTTATGCTCTAAAGGGTGATGGTGGATGTCCTAAAACTTTTATCCTACCTTATATAATTACGAATGTTCTTATCCACATAAAAGTGCAATCATCCTTTGAATCCTAAGTGCTTGGCGTCAGTGATATGTTGTTGGCAGTGAGTTCCACACATAAATTAAACATGGTATAAAAATCAGCAGATTTTTTTGAGATGGGATTCCACTGTCAGGTAGGCATGTATTTTATTCCTTTTACAGATGGGTAAATTGCAGAAGAAAATGGCTAAGTAATTTGTACCATATCAGTCAATGAATCAGAGGCAGAGCCAAGAACAGACCCAGGGGAGTCCTCACTCCAGCTCTAACCCCTAAAACACATCCCAGTTTTAAACATCCTTGAATAGAGTTTAAACTTAACTAAGATAGTATCATTACTGCATGCTGATTTTTTCTCATATAGATGATGACCAAGTTGGATAGTTAAAGATACAAGGCCAAGCAGGTTGTGGAGTTTGCAGTGAATGGTTTTGTTACTATTATAATTCTGAAGGCTGCGTAAATCAATGGTATTATGCTCACTTATACCAACAGTGAGTTTGGGCCAGGGTTATTTCTCTTTAAAACCTGATATGTTGCTAATTGGTTTTACAAGTGGTGGATGCTGCTTTATAATAAACATTTCTAAAAGAACTGTGAGTCAAAGACATCTAAGCCCTACACCCAACCTACAATATAAACAAAAACATTTAAAAGGGAAAGAAGAGCCCCTCACCGATAGCGTGGCTTGATTTAATTCAGAAGCAGGAAACCTTGATTTAAATAATAACTTTAAATCTTGATTTGTATTTATACTTTTTGTTATTTTCTTCAAGAAAAGCTGGTTCGCACTGGCTGGTAATCCCTGAAAATCAACAGTTTTTAACTAAATTTACCCTTTACACAAAATTTAAGCATTCTTTTTGGTAACCAGGCCAATACACTATATCTATACATTTATTTAAACAATTATATAGCTTAATATACATTTATTCAGATTCTTAATTTTTACATTTTTTACATTAGAAAATGATGAACAATTCATTTCTTGTTTACTAGATGGTTAATTTTTTACTTGTGATTTGTGTCAAGCTCTATTTGGATGAAAATTGGAATTAAATTAAAAATGAGTAAAACAGCTTTTAAAAATGCATTAGCTAAATAAAACTACCTTCAGTGTTCTGGAAACAAAAGCCAAATGTTTTGATAAACATGTTTTGCATTTAAAACTGATTTTTTAAACAAAGGAAGTATTGTTTGTCATTGGTGATTTGAAGTGATTGTTTTGGTACCATTATCCTTCAAGATTTTAGGACAGACCTCATCCTCCCTCACCTAGTTTTTATTCACAGATTGGGAGAGGAAAATGAGTTTTCCTGCTTTATCAACTCCCAATCAGTTTCTCAACTTTGAATGAACTAGTGATTGAACTGAACTAGTTGACTACACTGAAATGAAGAAAAGATTCTCTCTACACCTGCAGAAGAGGCTACTGCTGTTAAAAGCTGGTTTAACACTTCAACAACTCTAGTTCCTGGTGCTTAGTCACCAGTTCAGTGGCTTGACTTTCTTTAAAACTTGGACCACAAACAAGTACCGTTTAATATTTTTTTAAATGTATCTTAAATTATTTTAATTAGATTATATCAAGTTTAGGTCTCAACATAGGTTGTCATAATTTCGAATTTAATTTTAAATTGGTTTATCTTTAAAGACAAAAATGTAATTTACATTATATCTTTTTTAAATTAAAACTTTTTTTTAATCCATGCTGATCACCAAACAGTGTTCTTCTCTGCCTTCACCTCCCCCCCGAAAAGGTGTGGGCAAGAGAAACCCAAGATTGAATGGAAAGTAAAACCAGATGCAGGCAGGGTGACACAGCTGGACTTTAGCATCTGTTTAAATGAACCATGTATTGATTTGCTGTTCAGATTCTTTCCACTGAGTCTCTCTCTTTGATGGCTTTTTAAAAATTATTTTTAGCACTCTGGCAGTTGTGAGCGAAAGGGCAAGGATTGCTGGGTTTTGGTGGCTTCAGGAAGAAGTTCAAAAACAATAGCTGTTGTCCATAACATTCTCTCTATGTACATAAAAGTGAAATAAAGGACCAATAATGTATACTCAAGTTTGTCAAAATAGAGATCACTAATGCATCTTCCAAAGGGAGGTTGCATGCCTAGCATAGGGTTCTAAAATAAGATATGCAGTCCCCAGAAAACCCTATGCTGTGCATTATTGAAGAAATATGTAGAGGATAATATTAATGCCTGAAGATAAGCTGCAAGAAACAGGCCAGTAAATTAAAAGCAGCTTTTAGCTGTGAACTTACTCCACCACCAGTGATGTTAATTCCTGATTCAAACAAACTCAAGATATTTTGGTTTTGTTAGTTTGGAACTTCTGTGCACTGTGTCTGACTAACACCAGATGCTTCAGGTGAAGATGCTGCCCCCTCCCCCAAAATATTGTTCACACAGTAGTTATAGAGTAACCTACCTACAAAGTAAGATTTTCCTCAATATATCTCAGAGCTGGTTTATGCCCTGAAGCATGAGGGATTTATTACAGCTGTGTGGAGAAAGGTAGTTCTCTTTCATGGAGGATTTTATTTCAAAATTTGGTTTCATTCAGATTAGGATCCCAACAGTTCTCCACAAAAGGGAATGGAGCCCCAACCAAAGGCAGGTTGCCCTGAAACCATGGATCCTGAAAGCCCTCTCTGAGGCAAACCACCTGCAGCTCTGCTGAGGAGCCAGATGGGCAGGCTGCATGAAAGAATCCTAATAGAAACAATGCCTCCTAGGTTTTGAAACGTACCTGAGTTCTGTTGGAATTTTCAGGGATGTTTCAGATTTTGACAAATCAGCAAATTCTGACAAAATATTTTCTCAGAATTTTTTTGAACAGCTCTAGGTTTTAATCCCGACCAACTGTTTGGGTTTTTTGTTGGTTGGTTTTAAAATCCTCTCTATGCTAACTCTGGCTTGTTATCCATAGAAGTTTGTGATCCTTTTTTTGAATCCAACTAGAATTTTAGCTCTCAAGACTAGCTTGTGGTAACAAGTTCCTCAACTGGGTTCACTGAGAGTCCCCTGGCTCATGTAGCATGAGGATGAATTGGCATACCCAATTTACCTGCTCTACACCATTTGTTATTGTACATACATACACACACACGTCATCTCTCACAAATAGACAGCTGCAATCTTTTCAGTCTCTTTTCTTTCAGAGTTTGGTGCTAGGAGTTACAAATTCATTCTGAGATTAGAAATCAAGGAGTGTTCCTTCCCACTCATGCACCATCACCAGTAAGATTATACTGGCTAGCTTCTATCATCCAACCTGGGAAATTAGTTGAGGTGCTGAGTTTGCATACATATGAAAAAGAATACTGTCCTGCAATTGGAATGTGTATAACAATATTTTGGACAATGTGCAAAGGAGAAATAGAATTCAGTTCAATTGCTATAGCATTACAAAGCCAACATAGGCAGCAGCTGTAAAAAATGTACGTCACTAATAGACAAAGGGGTGCGTATGAGAGAATAAAATCCATTAATTGTAAGGCA